CCTCGGTCAGGCAGTTGTGTTAACAGCGTTTTCCAATTAAAGTAGCAGCCTCAGTTACAGAAAATGCTTTTCCTATCTGGGCATTGATCTGATTTTATTCTCTTTTAATCACTCATGGAGCACAGAGCTGTTTTGTTCCCCGTCCCTTATCATAATTAATCCATCATCATTTCTGGTGACAGGGCTTTTGCTGGATTTTTTTTTAATTTTTGCCATTTCCAGCACCACTCAGACACCCCATTCCTCATGGTGGGAAGCACTGATGTGAGTGATCAGGCAAATGTCAGGTGGACATGCAACCAGGACAAGAAGCAATGACAAAAAGCAGAGGTTTCGGTGCTGACACCCTGTCCCAGGAGGCCACAAAGGCCCTGTGTCCTATGACGTGTTCCTCCCAGGGTTTGAGCAGCTGCACTTGTCACTCTGGGCTTTTGCCCACCACAGTGACCCTCAAACGTTGAAGCCCCTCAGTTCTGCAGGGATCCTGTGAGGATGCTACAAACCACAGACTCCCAGACCAGGCAGCAAAGCCTTCTGCTGCCCCCACGTGTTCCTTACTCATTATTGTTGCCACGCACCAGGAAAGACCTGGGAACCCTCTTGGCAAGGACGAGGAGGAGCCAGCACAGCCCTGCAGCTGCTGAGGTCAGGGATCTTGCTTTGGAAGATTCTTCTGTTCCTCCCTCAAGCTCAGGGCCTTCCCTCAGGCACCCTATATTTTAAAAATTACAAAATCATGTGGACGTGTTTGGATGGAGGCAGAGCAGAGAGGCTGGAGGCAGAGCAAAGACACAGAGGTGTCATCATCCTGCTCTGAAGGGGGGAGGGTGCACCCCCAGAGCCCTGAAGGGCTGTTTGTCCAACCCCCCTGCGATGGGAGCGATCAGAGAGACCGACACGGTGTGGTCAGGCTCGTTGGCTCGGACCACGAGGAGCACAGAGAGAGAGAGAGAGAGCGCTCCTGGCAGGCTGAGCTCCCATGATAAGGTCATTGGAAAGACAAGTGATGCTTTCATCAACCTTCCTTTCCCCAGCAGCATCAGCACCAGCTTGAGCAGGGACTGACTCTGTGCTCCTGCAGTGCCCCGTGCTCTGTGCAGTGCCAAGCACAAAACCTTCCTCACAGACACTTCAAAGCTGTTTCTCCACCAGTGTCTCAGCCCCCAACTCCCATCCTTCTTGGCCCTGGTTCTAGTTTTGAGCCATTAAAGGGCACCTTTTTGGCAGATTTCCATTCCCTCTGGGTCAGTGGCACCTCTCAAGCTGAGGGGACAGCAGTCTGTAGTTCCTGACTCTCTGCTGCTTCCCAGCAGTTATAATTTGGGATCTCGTGGTTTGTTGAGCAACCCTTTGTTGGGGCAGCACGTGCTAATTGTTCTGGAGAGCATCAGTCCCAGAAGCTGCCTGGAGCCTGGGCTGACAGGTTGGCAGTAGCAGCCAAGCCCTCACATGGAACCAGTTTGTGGCTCGATGGTTCCGACCATCCCTGACACAGCCCCTCGGGAAGGAAGGGTTGGCTCTTTGCCATCCTTTCACCCAGAGCCTTTTTGGCCCTGGCACCATTAGCAGATGGGCTCAGGAGCAGTGCCTGAGCTGAGCATTGTCCACAGGCTGCCCTGGACACTGCCTGGAGCTCCCTGAGAACATCTGAAGGGAACAGCACTCCCTGGCAGGGCTGCCGTGCTCCGGCAGTCGGGGATTGCAAACACATGCTCCAGCTATGCAAGAAATCTTCGACTTGTTCTGAATGCAACTCTGCCTGGGTTCCTTCCCAGGAACATTCCTGTTCTTCACAATTTACCAGTTGCAGGAAGAGAGAGAAGGGGGAGGAGGGATTTTAGGAGTAAGGGAGAGGAAAGAGAACAAATCTCACGGTGCTTTCCGCAGCCAAATTCCTCCAGAAGGACAGGGTGTGGAGCGTGGACTCCAGAGTCTGGCACCGTCCCAAGAAAATATGAACTACAAAATCAAAACCACTCTTAATTAGTCATTTGTTTTTACATAAAGAATTAAGTCTCTCTTTTTCTGAAGTAATTCAGTGCCCGCTATCACACAAACCAGGCAGCCCCAGCCAAGCGGAGCTGTGTGATAGAAGGAGGGCTCTGAGCAGGGCCACGATATCTCCTGCAGGAGAGAGCAGAGCTGCTCAGATCTGCATCCTGCCCATCCCTGAGAGACTCGTTCCTCGCAGCCACAGCACACGAGAGGCAGTTGCAAATGTAGTTCTTGTAGGTGGCAGTAATTTGATGTCTGAGCTGGAGATGAATGATGGGCTGGGGCTCTGTCGTCACACCTGCTCTGTTACAGGAGGCAGAGCATGAGAGGGTGGGGCAGGAGCTGCTGCAGAGGTTCAGGGTACCCAGCTGCTCACAGCTCACTCTCAGGGTGACAAATCCCTCTTCTCATGCCAGCAGCAGCGGGGCCCTGCCTGGGGGAGGGCAAGGTGCAACCTGATGGCACCAAACATGCACTCTGAGTAACCTCCAATAGCTCAATTAACTGCAGTAAGTATATTCCTCTAATTAATTTAATTTAACTGAGGTTTTCTCCCCTGTGTTGGGTGTCTGCTGTATCAACCTCTTGGACTTACAGTGTATATAATTCAGATGTACATCCAGTACCCACATAAGCTTAGTCACTGCAGGCACCAGGAAGAGGGTGATTTTGTGGTGTTGTTTGGCTCATCCTTCTGCCTTAACACGGGGGTGGCTTCACTGAAATTGGTTGGGCTGCATTAGCCCAGAGCAAAGCCCAGCATTTATGCATTATTTGCAATAGAGGCATCATCATTTCTATGTCCTGAGCATGGACTGAGGTTTGCTCCAGCTGCCTTCCCAGTCTCCCACTAGGAAACAATGAAATGAAGACAGAAATGACTACTCATCTTTTTCTCTTTTTACATGTATATAACTCAAAACTGTTAGCAGGCTTCTGTTGCCTTACAGTGCTGTATAGGAGCTTCCCCTGTATTTGCTAAACTAAACAGGAATAATTAGTTGATATTAAGCAGATGCTCAATAATATTTTCTGTAACTTGTGCTGCACGTGGTGTTGGGATGGGAGATCACAGCTTGTGAGGGTCCCCCCCTTCATCTTTTATCCACTGTACACTCTATATTTGTGTTGTTAATGGCCCATATGGCTGTGAAGGAGAAGGGTGAATGATTTCACTCTGCCTTGCTTTGATTAATCCCAAATTATGGATCAAGTCACCGTTAATGATAGCCCAGGTGATTTATGAATGGCAATTGTTATTCCTGCTGGCCCTGAACAGTTGGGAACTGTCAGGTGCCATCCTGAGCAGCTGGAGCCTGAGCATCCCTTGGCACTGCTGACAGAGGAGTGCAGGGATGTGTGAAATGGCCCAGCTCTGCACAGGTGAGCTCAGGGAACACCTGCACAGCAGGGACAGGAGCTGCTTTCTGCCAGTCACACGTGAATTTATTCATTTCCCAAGGGTGGAGAGCAGCCTGTCACCGAGGGATCTGGAATTCAATTGACAGATTTTATTGCAGAGCTTAGAAGGGCTGCAGAAAGAGGAGCAAAGAACTCACGAGGATTATGTGTCTGACCCTTTGGAAACTTCCAAAGTGAGCCTGAAAAAAAAAAAAAAGAGGGACAAAACCAAAGTGATGGAGGAGAACAGCAACTCTGGATCTGAGCAAGAGCTTGCAGGAATGACAGGGCCACGAGGAAAGCCCTCTCCTAGTTTGTTTAGAGAGTCCCAGCCAAGACCTTCAGGAGAGTTTGGATTCTTTATCACAGAGGGATTAACTCCGCTGTGCCCTGGGAAGGAGCTGGCATGGATGTGAAGGCCAGATGGTGCCCAGCATCATCCCAACCCTTGGGCTGAGGGAAAGACCTCCTTAGTTCTGGTACCCTCTGCTCTGACCTGAGTCAGGGGTAGGAGGATTTCTTGCTCAAGTTCAGGGCACGTCTGACCCTTGTGTTGGTTGAATGTGGGTAAATGACTGAACCATTGAGCTCTCAGACAGACTCCACTTGTTTGGGGCTTTGCAGCTCTCACAGTCTATCAGCTAAGGACAAAAATATTCCAGTTATTTGGAATGACGACATCATCCACACAATTGACCCGGAGCCAACAATAGCACTCCTACAAAGAAGTTATTTCTTGTTAAGCGCTATTAAGGACAAGTAAGCCCAGACTTATCTCCCTCAGCAAAGCCTGGTTGTTTCCCCCATGTTTCCAGATCACCTCTACAGTTGTGTTTTCCAGTTTTGAGCAGCTTACCCTGAGCAACCTGGATTTGTTTGACGAAAGGTGATTATTACTTGTAACTTTTGAACTTCAGTAGTCACAGAGAGGCCCGTAAGTGGCTCAGGGAAGGAGTTTTGGCACATCTCATCTAGTCCCCTCACTTGCAGAGCCCCCTCCAGCACACTAAATCCATATTTGCTGGGTCAGAAAACTGCCCGAGCTGGTTGAGCCTCAGAGCCACCTGCTGATGGCACAGACCGGGGATGGAGGGAAGGGAATCCTAATCCCTGCTCGGGGATGGGATGCTGGCTCAGCCCCAGCCCTGCCTGGAAGAGCAGCCCTGCCAAAATCCCTCAGCCCACAGAGGTGTGTGGGCAGGGCAGGGTTGTGAGGGAGCAAGGGCCGCTGCTTGAAAAAACAACGGTGATGCTTGGACAGGTGTGTGACGTGGACCAAGGCAGTGACACCTCACCTGGAGCCGTACAGGTGTGTGACACACCCAGGGCAGTGACCCCACACCTAGGCCATACAGGTGTGTGACATGGGCCATACAGGTGTGTGACACACCCAGGTCATACAGGTGTGTGACGTGTCCCCCTGTACAATGTGTGACGTGCCCCGGGCTCGGTCCCGCCCGGCGCGGCCCCTTTAAGCGAGGCCCCGCCCTCGCTCCGCCCGCACCGCCCCCTGCCCTTCCCCTCCGCCCGTTGGCCGGGCGGCGCTGGGGCCCCGCCCCCCGGCGGAGCCAGCCAATGGGAGGAGCGCTGGGTGAGCCCGTGGCCAGGTCGGTGAGGGGCCGATGGCGGCGGGTCCGTGAGGGGGGCGCGGGGCCGGGGGAGAGGGGAGGGAGCGGGGACACCGTGAGGGGAGAGGGGACACCCTGAGGGGAGGGGAGACGAGACATCCTGAGGGGAGGGGGGACACCATGAGGGGAGCGGGGACACCGTGAGGGGAGCGGGGACACCGTGAGGGGAGCGGGGACACCGTGAGGGGAGAGGGGGACACCGTGAGGGGAGAGGGGGACACCGTGAGGGGAGCGGGGACATCCTGAGGGGAGCGGGACTCTTGGGAGGACCGGGAGCCCCTTTAAGTGCTGAGGGGAGCGGGACCCCTGAGGTGCCGTGGGGAGCCGGGCACTCTGAAGGAATGGGGGGGATCGGGATCGCGGGAGGGGATCGGGACCCCCTGAGGCTCTGGGGGATCTCGGGACACGCTGAGGGGCTCGTGGACGAGTTTGTTCCTCTGGGGAGGGCGGTGTGTGGGGGGAGGCCGAGGTGACCCGTCCTGGGTGTGTTGGATCAGCCGGCACAGCCGAGCCCCAGCTGTGGGTGCCCTGCCCTGTGGTAATTAATGTCGTTAAATGGCGCTGGCTTCACCTGAAGAATCCATTAGGGGTAGGGGAAAGAATATTGAGGTCAGTGGGGTCCCATGAGAATGTGAGGTTTTCGTATCTATACCCGGCCCTGACAACAAATTGTTTGTGGAGTTGAGGGTTGAAGAAAACAAAAAATAACAACTGGCAGCTGCAGGCTGAGCAATAATTAAGGTGCTCGGGCAAGTTCTCGCCTTTATGCAGCAAAATGGCCTTGTCAGTCAGGTTGAAGTTAAGTATAGCTTGAGCTGTCCCTATTAAAAAAAAAGAAAAAAAAAAAAAAAAAAGTTAAAATTTAGTTGAGTGTTTTGGTAGGAGATCTGATATGTTCCATGGGGTTTTTTTACAATAATGAAAGATACTTCCCTCCAAGTGACTCTGTTGCTTTTTAAAGGAAATAATAAAAAGTGCCTTTTAAAACGTGCGAAGTGGTTTTGTGAGGTGTTTTGTCCACAGGCAGACACGAAAGAAAAGGTTGGGAAATAATCTCCTATAATAATAATAAAAAATATATGGCTGCAGTTTGTACACAAGTTTTTTGATATGACTGTTAGAATGGCACTTTTACCCTTGGATAGAGGGAAGGGTTGTGTGTTCACACCCTGCTGTGCTTTTTGTGCATCCTCTGAATCTCCCATGCTGAGAACTAAACACTGGTACTGAGGGAATTAAAAACGTCTGCTCTTTGTTCCAGGTGCTGGTGTAGAAGATGAGGCTGAATGAGAGCCGGACAAGATCCTTCCAGGCTCCTGTCACGGTCCACAACTACCCGGGCAGGCAGGTCTACGTGTTCCCTAATGGCCCATCCGACTCGGAGGAGTCCTCGGAGGAGGAGGAGCTCAACGTCATGGAATTGCGGCCCCGGGGGAAGGAGCAGCAGCGGGGCAGCGCTGCCCGGGACAGGCCTGCAGATGTGGTGCTGCTGGAGCGGGAGCTCACCGAGGGGGACAGCCTGAACAAGCTGGCCCTGCAGTACGGCTGTAAGGTAAGAGCCTGCTCTGAGGGGGGTTATCACTTCAGAGCTGTTCCGTGGGGGCCTCACTTTCCAGGAGCTGTTCTGGTGTCTTAACAGTTTTGGCACTGAAAATACACTGGGTGTTTCATGAATGGCCGATATCTGGGTGAAACTGGAGAAAGGCAAAAAAATCCCAAGCAGGCACAAAAAAAAGAGTTCCTCAGCCAGCAGCTGAGGAAGGTGTTGTCAGCCTCACACCCTGCCTGGCCTGCTTTCCTGTTTGACTTGAGTGACTAAGTGCAGGTTGTGCTAACTCATTTCAGGGAGGGCAAACATTAGGAAGCTGAGCTCAGAAATGAGGGTCAGGGCTCTGCTCCCAAGGAACACGAAGAGTTTTTGCAGCAAATAAAGAAAGCAGTGCAAAGAAACACCACTGGGATAGGTCTGGCCTGGAGTGGGATTGGGGGTTATTCTTCGAAAGGTTGCAGCTTACAAGCTGCAAGGAAGGTGTGAGTGTGAGGGGTGGAGCTGGAGAGGTGCCAAGGTTCGGGTCTCAGAGTCCAGGTGCTGTGTGTGTGTGGGTTTTGGCTGTTTGCTGTCATGCCCAGAGTGTGCTCCATGGGCTGCCTGCGGGCAGGAGGGAGGGGTGTGCAGGGGGAGCTGCCTCCCAGCTGGAACACTGCACAGTGTCTTCTCTTTGCTCCAAAGCAGGGCACTTGATAGAAAAACTGTTGAAAAGTTTGATTCCCTGCTCTGAACACGAGAAGCCCCGCCTTGTTTAGCAGTCGGAGCTGCATTTTTAGAGCCTCCTTTATCTGCAGGCTGGGCTGTGATTCGAAAGTTCCGTGATGCAAACAATTGGACAGAGATTGGAGTGGGATGATGATACGGCTCTGGCTCTGCTGCTGCACTGCTATTGCAGTTGGTCTTGCTTCACCACACAGCAGCTGTTGGTGCAGCTGAGGCAAGAGGGCTTAGAGGGATTGCAGCAATTCCTCCCCTCCCATTCCCTTAGAAACAAACACAAAAAAAGGTGTAGGTTCTGCTGAGGGGCCTGGTGCGTGTGGAGAAGAGTCTGGGAGGACTTGAATAGGCCTTGATTGGCACCAGGGGAGCCTGGGAAAGCAGAGCTGCGGCTTTGCTTGGCTTTGGAGCTGTCACTGAGCACTCCTCTCTCAGCAGCACTTGTGTTGCTGCCACTCGGGCACAGTCTCACAGGCTGTGAGCTCAAGAGGAGGAGGAAGGTTCTGAACAGCTCTTTGGTTTATGGCATGAAAAGTCCTGCTGTGCCCTCTGGCACTGTGACTCAGAGGAGGAGTCCCTGCTGTGGCTGCTCATCTACCTCTACTGCCGTATTCCTGCCCCACCTGAAGGCTCCTGGGCCCGTCCAGAGGGAAAGCAACCTGGTGGGGATGGACCAGGTAGTCAAGTGTTCTCCTCCCACAGGAGAAAAACTGTCCTGCTGCCTCCCTGCCTTCCAGAAAGGGCAATCCTGACTAGTTCCAGTTGTTGGAGAGGTACAGAAATCTTTATCCTGGGAGCTCTGTGTATTTGTCTGTTTACAGGCACTGCTCACGTTTCCTGCGTTTGGTTTTGTTTGTACAATTAACCAGCTCCTGAAAGGCCCCCAGGACAGCAGTGAGGAAGAACTGTAGCCACAAATACATATGCAAATGTGTTTAAAAAATCCAGGACAAGCTTCTCCTTGAAATCAATGAGAACTTGACATTGGTCTCAGAATCTGCTTGGGGACGGGGTATTAAGGGAGTGCAACAAATAGCTGTGTGTGTGTGCCACAGATAACTTGGCAGAGATGGAAAGCACTTCAAAATCCTCATTTTTACTCTTGACCATTTATAGTCCTGGCTTGCTTTTGGCATTGTTCATAGCTGGGACAAGAGCAGCAAACTGCAGCCAAAAAATGAGTACAGAAAATAAACCTAAATGGCTTGTGCAGCCCAGGCTCTCAAATGCTTCCCATCAGCTTTGTTTGTTGTTTCTGTGTGAGTGCTGCTCCACTTTCTGTTTCTAGAGCCTCAGCACAGCACTGCAGTGTTTGATTGCAGACACCACGGGGGGATATTTACTGTCCCACTAATTTGTTTTCATTGGAACAAACCCAGAAATTGAAGCAGCACCTCAGTTGGGAGGCTTTGGGTGAGATTGTTATTTCTTAACCAAGAAGCTGTGCAGGGTTTAAGTGCAGGGGTGACGCTGGGGCAGCCTGGGAGGAGCCTGAACCGGCAAAGGAGGATTCCTTTTGCCTCGGGGGCCCCAGATCAGGACCTGCTTTAAACGGGCCATTTTCAGAGTTCTCAAGCTTTGCAGAGTGAGGTTGAGGCATCCATCTCATCTCTGCCTTGGAGCAGAGTGCTTGGGGAGTGAAGTGCTGTTTTGTTTCAGCTCCCCAGTTTCCTTGGCAGCCTCTAGTGAGTGCCCAGTGAATGCAGGTCATCCTGTGATCTCTGACAGAGCAAGGCACAGTCCCCACACTGTCTCCTCGGTGTGATGGAGCAGAGGTGGTTTAGCTGCTTGTGTTGCCTTTCTCTTTGGCTTGGGGTCTGGCTGGTTTGTTTTGTGTCCTCAGCTTTTCCCTCGAGGTTCTTTCACATCTCCTTGGCTGCTGTGGAGAGCTCCTTGCACACTTGACATCCTCTTTGTCCTCTTTGGCAGAGGGTTTAGGGCAGCTGAGAAGTTGATGCACTTATTGGGTGGCTGTGAGTGAACACTCTGTTAATTAAGCATCTCTTATTTAATGTTAAATTAAGAGGTGCTGCCTTGCCTTTGCCTTTGCTTTGGGACTGGCCCTGTGACTGACTCTGCACGTGTGGCTCGTTCGTTCTTGCTCTTCCCGCTGCTGGGTGGGAATGTGGGTCACAGAGGGGAACTCTGCACAGGAACCCCCAGAGTTCATCTCAGGGTCACGGGGGTGTTGCCCCCCAGCAGAGCCCTGAGCAGCTGTGCAGGAATGAGCTGGATCACTGCTGTGCTGCACAGGACTGGTGCTGCCTGGGCACGGGATTCTCTGCCTGTGTGGGAGATGCTCACCTGCTCTGCTCACTCTGAAAGCACTTTCTGAGCAGGAAGGTTTGGACTGCTGGTACTGATGTCCTCTCACCTTAAACACTGTGTAAGGTTTATTAAAAAGGATCTGTTACAAAGACTCTTCTTGCCTTAACTTGAAGGTAAGTGAGGGAAGAGCAAAGAAAGCAAAGGGAAGGAAAAACAGTGCTAAGCAAAGTACAGCAGATACAAGAGCACCAGAGGAGGGTATAGAATGGCTTAACAAGGGACTGGCTTTGTCCTGCAGGCCCTGGAGCCCCCTCAGCTGGGAATCTCTGCAGAACCCCAAACCCGTTGCTTTTATTCTCTGACGGCTGCTCGCTGGTTCTGGAGCTGCTTCCTGCTTTGGTCCCGGGCTGTGCTGCACTAACACCGATGTCCCTTGGGTTCTGCAGGTCGCCGACATCAAGCGGGTCAACAACTTCATGCGGGAGCAGGACCTGTACGCGCTCAAGTCCATCAAGATCCCGGTGAAGGCGCACGGGCTGCTCACGGAGGGCGGGCGGGACCTGCGGCCGCTCCCTCCGGCACAGCCTGGATTGACCCGCGTGGAGCTGCCGGAGCCCCAGCCCGCCACGAGCGGATCCAGCGGCCAAAACCTCAGCGACTACTTCAGGGACATCGACCAGAGCATCCAGGACGCCGTGCAGGTGGAGGTGCAGCTGAACACAGAGTACTGTGGGGAGCCGCTGGAGAGGCCTCTGCCCGAGCCAGGCAAGCGGGACACGGGGAACGGCGCGGACTGCGGGATCCAGTGGTGGAACGCCGTGTTCATCATGCTCCTGATAGGAATTGTGCTGCCAGTATTTTATATCATCTATTTTAAGACGCAAGGCCTGGTGACCCACACCTCCAACACAACAGTAACCTCAAACGTTTCGACAGCTGGATTGGAAGGGAAATTACCACAAAGCTCAGCCGTAGGAAAAAAGTCCTAAGGGGAACGGGGAGACCCCTCCAGCCTCTCCAGCAGTGGTGCCCACACGCTCGTGACTGACCCAAGTGCATCCAAGGGGATATAATGATACAGATAATTTTTATTTTTATAAGTAGCTGATGATGGAATCCTGAACTTGACTGAAAGTGAGGTGATGTGATTGTGATGGAAAAATAAGGATGATTTGTTGCTTATGCAGATCACTGAGCAGGTGGCTCAAGAGTTGGAAACTCTGTTGAGGGCAAAGTATTTTGTAGCATTTTACTCAATGTGATTGCTTCAGGTATTTCTCAGTGCCGTGTCTGGAAGCAAATCCTTTGCTGCTGAGCTAGAGAGTGCAGTATTAATGTGCTTGGAAAGTTTGGAGTTGTTTGCATTTTAAGGAATTGCTTTTTGCTGGAGCAGCACTTTTTGCTGCTCTTTTACTGGGAGCTGTTGTTTTTCTCTCTTGCAGACCATGGTGGTTTTGGCTTAACCCTAAACTGATGGCTCTAAGCTGGGCGTGCCAGCCCCTCATCCTCCTCCTGAGCAAACCTGAGAGCTGGGTTTATTAGGTTGATGTCAAGCCCCTCCCCAGGATGATCCCAGACCTCTCCCCTCCAGGAAACCCCTCAGGGATGGGATCTCGGTGCCAGATCCGCGCTGTCCCCACTGCAGAGGGGACTGGAGGAGGATGTGGGAGCAGGGAGAGGACTTGGACACTCCTCTCAAGGGCTCTTCTGTTGGCAGGGGGGTCTAGTCAGTATTACTTGCTAAAAACACTAATAAGAGTCTATAATGGTGCATCTCAGACACCCGATTTCAGTCACGGGCTTCATTTCCCTGTGTGCAGATTTCACGGGAGCAAAGTGTCCCATGCAGGGTGCAAGGGCCAGGGCAGAAGCCCAAAGCACAGAAAGAAGGGACAGGACTGAGCTGATTGTGACGCGTTCTGTGACCTGCAGACGTGCATTACAAAGCTGTGAGGGTGTAGGAAGAGCAGGGGAGCCTGGGAGGGCAGAGGGCTGTGCTCTTCAGGTGGGACACTGAACACTGCAGGGGGGAACAGCAGGGAGGCTTTGGGAGCTTTGCTGCAGAGCACAACTGGCCTCAGAAATTGGAAACATCCATTCCGAGCCTGCAGACAGAGGTAATTCCAGGCCCTCCTGGAACCAAACACTAAGGGATTTCCACCCCACACAAGCAGAACTGTGTGGTGTTACAATGACAGCCTGCGTTTCCTGCAGCTCTCAAAAAAAAGCGCTCGGGAAAGCCTGAGGGAACCTAATTTTGTACATGAGGACTCCAAAGTACCTTATACTGAACAAAACCTTGTATTTTTCTTCTGTGAAGAGCTGTATCTCTTTGTTCTGGGGGCGGGGGGGGATTTCTTACATTTTTAAATAAAGCCACATGAAATAATAAAAGCACAAGGGGCACAACTTGTGCTTTTTTTTTTGTTCCCACACTGCACAGTGCTGAGCAGCTGCCCCAGGACGATCCCTCAGCACCCACTGCAGGCACCAGGAGTGGGAGCAGCAGAAGGAAACGTGAGTGTCCAGAGGGGCAGGAGGACGGGGCTGGACCCAGGTTTTTCTTTCTGTTAGAAGTTTCTTACCAAGCATTAATTTTTTGCTTTGAGTGTAGTAACAAGTGTGTGTGTATATCCCAAAAAAATCCCTGTTGATTAAAATCCTCTTCAGTGCAGTTTAAAAGCACAGCCTGACTGAAGAAGACACCTGGAGGGGCACAGACACGCCAGACAGGACCACGAGAGAGGCCGGAGTACACAGTAAAAGCCAGTATCTTTACTTTAGTGAATGCAGGATACAAATATTTTACAACAACCTCTAGCATTTTTCTTAACCATTTGATAAAAAGTTCACTAGAATATTTATTGTATATTGAAGAAAAAACAACACATTCAGGGAAAAAAAAAATTGAGATTAACTTATTTTTTTTTTTTCTTAAAAGATTCGTCTCAAGGATGGCAACAAAGTCCAGCTTGTGCCGCCAAACGGCTTATCAGCATTAAACCGTGAACAGCTTCTTTGTGAACTGTTGACTACAAACATTTACCAAATACATAAATCTCTTTTAAAAAAGCCATTTTAAATATAGCAAAGCAGTGTTTCTCTTGCACAGCAAAGTGAAGAAAGGTTCTACTAAGATTTAAATGTTTACATTGGTTAAGTCTTTCTTTCACATTCGGATTTCACTTCTGCCCAGGATCAATTGTTAGGAGTTGTTTTGTTCCTTATTTACTATGTATTTCTTGTGCGCACAGTAACTCGGAGTTCCTGCTGCATTAGTGTCCTTGAGGGGAGGGCAAGGCTAAAGCAGTTCTGACGAGTCCCTGACAACGTGGCGTTCCCAAAACTACCGTGAGAGCTCGAGGATGGAGGTGATTTGTCACAACAGAGCTAAAAATCTTAACTATCACTCAGACCTGACTGGGTTCAGCCCAGGGTTGGATCCACTTGCACTTCAGTCAGCAGAGAGAGAATTTAAAAAAAGTATTATTATTTTTTTTTCACCTGTTGAAATATCTGTGCTATGTCATAATTATTTTTTTTTTTATAAAACATTTTTTTTACAATTTCTAAAAAAGTATGTTCCAAAGTGAGTTACTTGTTACTAAAAACCAGGATTCCCATTTCCTCGATGGCAGGAGCTGCTCCCCAGGACGGGAGGGCTGTGGAAGGACATTTGTGCCGTGGCTGGGGCAGCACAGGGCCAGTCCCCAGCCCGGCTCTTTAGAACTTTGATTCTTTAATACTCTTTTTTTTTTAATTCATTGGTGCAATTTCAATACAAACTCTAACCCTTGTGTAGCTTTGTCTTTAAGAAAACAGTAATAGTACTGTTTAAAAACCTGCATAGAAATAAAGACTATTGAGATACAGTCAGCAAAGCCATCTGATAAGGCACACAAGAAAATAGACAGTAAATGTGAATGCAGAACTCCCACTCGATGTACAGCAAAGGTCATACAGGTGCATAAATCATGGAACTCACACCACTGGTCGGAGCAGCAAAAGGTGCAGGGGGTGGCAAGTGAATTGGGTCACCGGGAGCACAGCAGCCTGGGGAAGGAGCCCCCCTCTGCCCCCACGCCCTGTCAGCCAGTACCATCCCAAACAAATGGGATCCAGGTCCAGGAAGGGGCTGGAGCCTGGCAGGTTTTCCGCTGCCACAATGGGGGATGAGCTGGAGGTGCCGCCTGGTCCCCTCTCCCAGCTCCTGTCACAGCTTGGGGCACTCGTCATTACACACAAATGAAGCCCAAGCAGAAGTTTAATAAATATCAGGGATGACCAGGAAGGCTGGATAATCCCCCTGCAGTTTCCTCCCCAGCACCAGCACTGCCAGCCTGGAGGTGACCGGGACAGGTGGGATCAGGGCCCCAAAAAACCAACACCCAACCTGCTCCCAGCACGAGGGGGCTCTGGATCCCTCCTCCTCCTCTCTCTTGGAAGCAGCACATTTTTTCCCAAACCACTTGCCAACTCACAAAACCTTTTGTGCTCCTCTGATATGTGTCATTTCCCTATCATGAGAAATTAGGTCAAGTTTTTCCACTGTTTTTTTTTTTTTTTTTTTTTTTCCTCCCTCCTCAGAAGAGGCAGCTTTAAAATGATGCCTTAAAATGTGTTGTAACAGATTTTTTTTTTTATATATTTATGCAGGATGAACTTAACACCGGATTTTTTTTTTTTTTGCCACTTTGCTATTTATATACATATATATAAAATGTATAATGAAGCTTAACCATACAGCACAGAGATTACAACTGAACGGCACACATTCACCACCAGTGAGGGGGCCAACCCCTTTATACACCCTCTGAAAAATCTGGATAATAATATTAATAATAATTAAAATCCAAAGAAAGTACAGTATATTTAACAAAATAGTAAATATTAAACAGTGAATACTCTACTTAATAAGGACCTCGCCTTGTTTCAAGTTGGCGTCAATCCACAAAAATATACTTTTTAATCTGGTGACCGTACAATACATAGGTACTTACACCAAAGGTGATAATATATTTAGGATGCTATATACACAAAGAGTTTGGCTCAAATTTAAATTTACATATAAGTGTTCATGGCTTATTTTTCCCCCAAGGTTCCGCCTGCAAGTTTTTCCTTTTCATCTTTGAAAGCAAAAACTAGAAAGTCAAAATAAGATAAAACTATACTCTACAAAAAAGCTACAACATACAGCTTTGGCTTATATAAATAATTCATAGCAGAATGTGTTCAAAAGTACTGTATATAACTTTATATATAGTCTTCAATTCATTAGGGTATTGTTTTCTTTAATATAAAATATACATGAGCTAAAATCCGTTTCTATATTTTTCAAAGGTATGGACGTAAAAACAAATTTGTCAAACATATTCCAATTATAACTTAATATATTAATTTTATTTTGTTAATGTTCTATTTTCTAGGCTAATATTTTCTGAATATTTCATGCGAGTTCTCTATGTCTCTCTTTCACTCATTAAAAAAATCACTTCTTTGACCCAATACACTATTTTTTTACTTTTTTTCTTTTTTTTGCACGTGCAAAACAGGGTTTTTGTTTTTTATGGGTTTTTCTTTTTTTTTTTTTTTTTTTTTTTTTTTTTTTTTTTTTTTTTTTTTTTTTTTTTTTTTTTTTTTTTTTTTTTTTTTTTTTTTTTTTTTTTTTTTTTTTTTTTTTTTTTTTTTTTTTTTTTTTTTTTTACTTCTTATAGCATCAGCCCTTCTCCATGCACCCTCTGCAATAGAGACCCATGCCAGGTTGGGTAATAAAAGGTCAGTTTATGTACAGTATTGCTTTCTTCTTCCTGCTTTTTCTACTGCTCTGCTGCTACAAAGCAATTATTTCTTAACTACGAGTAACCATGAGCTGAACTAACACACAGGGACGGTACTACAGGCGAGCCCTGGGCTGTGGAGGAGGAGGAGACACTGCGGGGACAACGCTCTGCCGACGGCTGGGGCCAAACACAACTCCAGGGAGGTGCCAGACTAGATCAAACCTACGGGATTGTTCTGCTTTACCAGGGGACATCTGCAGCTATACACGAGTTTGTCGTAAGTGCCTGATGATCGGTGTATGCTACACACACTAGCACATATATATGCACGTGGAGATATATATATGCACGTATGTATATACATATAAATAGACTCAGTCACGTCCTTATTTATAAGTGTGGATATGTCAGGACAGTCCGTGGTGGGGACGGGCGGGCGGGCCCCGCGGCTTTTATGTCACCCACGTGTCCATCCTCATCCGTTTTACCGACGGGCTCTCCCGCTCCTCGGCGTTGGGCGGCCGCCCCAGCACCACGGGCGAGTGGAAGTCGCTGCGGGGATCCTCGCGGTCGCTGCCGTCGTAGGAGCTGCTGGAGCTGCTCAGGCTGTCGACCGGGGAGCGCCCCAGTTCCTGCCGCGATGGCGGCGGCGCCGGCGGCTGCTGCGGCTGCTGAGGCGGGAACCCCGAGGGGGTGACGCGGTCCCGGGGAGGGGAGATGGGTTCAGACTTGATGTTGATGTTTTGGTTGGTGTTGATGGAGAGGTTGGAACCCTGAGATATCTGGCTGCCAGTGCTGGGGAGAGAGCGCGGAGAGGCACAAAGTGAGAGAACGCGGAACGTGGACGGAAAGAGGCCATTCGGATGTGTCTGAGGGGGGTGGCCCTGGAGCTCAGCACCCTCCAAATGCTCCTCCCTCAAGTCAGAACAGTGTTGGAAAACAAAGGTCTGAGCTGCATTTACAGAAGTTCAGAACACACAGAGAGATTTCCCTCTGCCAAACACTCCGGTTCACCAGCAGGCGCCTCCTGGGAGGAAGCTGGGCCTGCAGGGACCCCTCAGGTGTTTGACCGAAGGGACGGGAATGTTTTGCAGCACCGACAGGATGAGAGGTGAGAGGGGTCAAATGCTGAACACCCCAGTGCAGATGGTGCAGCTGGAAGAGGCCCCCCCAGGGCCACGGTACTTACACGAGGGAGCTGAGGGCCGCGGGACCGAGGTGGTGCTGCTGCCAGGCAGACACCTGCCCCAGGGACAGCATTCCGGGGGAGTTGAACCCCTGCAGGGCAGACAGGTCTGCACTGCTCAAGGAGTAATCTAAGGGCAAACAAACAAGAGTCATTTAGGGATTTATGTATATATATATACACGTATAAATACACAGGAGTTTATGTGTTACACACACCTACAAAGGCTTTCTGCCCAAAACAAATACAGGCAACTGATCCACAGGAATCCAAACATGGAAACTCTGATGTCTGGGAGAAATCCTCCCAACCTCCCAGGGAGCTTGACAGGACAGAAGGCTCCAAATGACAAGCTTTTCTGCTTTTAGTTCCTACGTGTTGCTCAGAGCTTCTTAAAACCACAGGTACAACAGATTTATGCATTTTATGTATCCAGATGTGCACCTGACAGTAACACTGTTCACACTTGGAAGGGTTTTGTCTGCATGGACATTTCAAAATGAACCTCTGGGAAGGCAGGACAGGGGTTGGGTGCCCGAGGGACAGCAGGGCCAAAGTCACTGCCAAGGGACCCCTCAGTGCAGTCCCACTGCACCACATCACACCCTCCCCTCCCCACAACGTCACTCCTGAATCTCTGACTAAACTGGCATCTCCACATCAAATGAACAAAAGAAACCTCTTTTCTTAAAGTAAAAAAAAAATCATGTTTTAGAACCAGTGACTCAGTTGGTTCTGGTCCTTCTCTGCAGAAGGAACACTTCTCCAAGCAAAGCATGTTATACAAAATAGGGTATTTGTGGAAAACTGATACCCAGTGTTTTAATTAAGGATCCAAGAGCTGAATCTCTCCCTTCCAGCCCTGGAGAAGAAAAAACCCATCAATTCAGAAAAACAATTTAGGTACTGAAATTTTATCTTAGTCCTTGAACTGCAAAGCTGGGATTGCTACGTAAGTGGTGACTGCCCTGAGAATCCCCAGATGACAATTTGGTTTCAACATCAAATTTCTTCCTGCAAATCCCCTGAAAGGCTCAATCTAATAGAAATGATTCTGAAGTGTGTGAAAACCACTAAAGGCTGAGAGCTTTGCACAAATTATTGCATTATCAGAGGAAATGGGCTGGGCTGGGCTTTAAAATCACATCCCAGCGACACCAGTTCCACCGTCTTTGCTGCTCCCTGAGGTTCCCACTGCATGTGTGAATCTCCCAGGTTATTCTGGATGAGGGATGCACCCACCCAGTGCTGCTTCCTGAAACATCAGCCTGTGAGGGAGCAGAGGGATCTGTCAGGCAACAAGGGAACCTCAGCGTGGGGGAAAAGACCATAAATGAATGGCTGCTCTGTCTGCTCCATGTCCCAAATCAGAGACTCCTGGTGATGCTCCTCCTTGCAGAAAACAAAGACCACAAAACCTCTCAATCCCTCAGCTTTTGGCCATTTTTGTACAAACCCTGAAGGCTGCTGTGATTTGTCCCAACCTCTGCAGAAGAACAAGACCACGAGGTCACTGCCAACCAACACACCAACCAACATCATCACCCCAGGGGGCTCAGCCTCGGGCAGCAGCAGGTCCTTTGGAGCTGTTTGCACTGCCCTGTTCCTGGAGGAGCCACCCCTGCAGCAGGTGTGTCCCTGTCCCCCTCCCAAAATCCCAAACCCTGAACATTTAACTAGACTTCATCTAAAGAACAGCAAACTGGGGGATTATTTCCTTCGCTTTCCTTTTCAGTTTTAAACCAGAGGGTATTTTAACTGACAGGATTTACTGACGCTTCTCTGCAATGTAGTTCCTCTGCAGGTGCAGCTGAAAATCCAACTACACAGCACAGCTCAGTGCTCGTCACCCTGAGCTTTTCATGACAATTGTTAGCAAGATTCCTTCCCTGATCACACACAAGGGCTGCAGCAAATAAAGAACCTGAGACTGAAGGGAAAATTATCTCTGTTGGAATGCAGGAAAGGAGGAGGCACCACAGGAATTGTTTAGGTTGGAAAAGACTTTTAAGATCATCGACCACTCCCCCAGCCCTGCCAAGGCCACCACTGACCCCTGTCCCCAAGTGTTACATCCACGTGGCTTTTAAATTCTTCCAGGGATGGGGATTCACCATTGCGCTGGGCAGCTGTGCCAGGGCTGGACAACCCTTTTGGTGAAGGAATCTTTCCTAAAATCCAACCTAAACCTCCCCTGGTGCAATTTGAGGCTGTTTCTCCTTGTCCCATCACTCAGGAGCCACTTCCCAAACCAGCAAACCAACTTACCACTGTTACATCACCCAGCTCCTCACATCACACCCAGCCTGGGCAAAAGCAGATTTAGGGTCCTGCAGGAACAGCAGCTCTGTTTGGGAGGCATTCCAGTATTCCCTGCTGGATGGTTGGAATGCTCTGGGCAGAGGATGTCCCTGCCTCTCCCTGTCCCTGGTTTGCAGCCTGACTGGAAGCTCCTTCCCCGTGGAAGTCCCAACGTTCACACACTGCACGAGCAAAAGGCTCAGTTTTGATCAGTGAGAGTTTCACTGGGACCAAACACGAAAACAGAGCCACGAGTCACAGAAATGCCAACCAATGTCCTGGGCTAATGAATCCCAAAAAAGCCTTGGCCATCCCAGTCCCAGCCCAGATCCCAAGCCTTACAAGTGTTGTAGCCCCAATCCCAAGCCTCCCCAGTGCTGCAGATCCCAATCCAAGCCTCACCAGTGTTGTAGGCCGTGGGCATGGCCGAGTAGACGAGTCCCTGCGGGGGCAGGCTTGGGGTCGTCACCGACACCACGGGGGTGGCGAGAGGCTGCGTGGACTGAGAACTGCTGATCCTTTGGGTGTTCTGGAAGGGAAGGAAAACACCACTGTGACACCAGAGTGGGGAATCAGAAGATTCCACTAAAGATTCCACTGAAACGTGTCGCTGTGCTGAGTTTTTTAGTTAGGAAATACTTTTTTTTTTTAACGGGGCCGATTTTCTAAACAAGCTGAAATGTTTCAAGACAACCAAAAAATGATCTTGGCAAACTGAAATGAAACATTCATTAACTCACTGGGTCACTTCCAGAGCATGCAGATTGCAACAGTGGTAAGGACACACACACAAATGCAGTTTCTTAGGGATACACACGACAGTTCTCAGAAGTTCTGAAGTGATTTAAGAGTTTTGAGTTTTAAGGGGGTTTTAGTGCAGATGGTGAGGTGCAGTTCCACCAGAAGAGATTCTCCCACTTCACAGTTGTTTATCCAATTCTCCAAATTTCAGCTGCCAGTTTTGACACTGTGCTGACTACACCTGTCCTGAAAGGAACACAGAGATCTTCTAAATTTGTGTTGATAAGACTCCAGTGATAAAATAATCTTGCTGTTCCCATGGTTCCTGAGAAACTGAGAGCGTACTTGTTATCATGCAGAAATGTTTCCAAGCAAATGACACTGGAGTTCACACAGAGCAACTGTGCTTCTTGACAGGGAAAATAGCTAAACTAGATTGTCTCACATTATCTGACTGTGGGCACAGTTTGGCTCTTTAGTGACAGCCTTTCTTTCCTGCACGCTGGAAGGAACATCTGCAGCAAACACATCACTCAGCCTGAGCTGTGACCGAATCTGCTGGTTAGAAGGTTAATTCACCGCTGTGGTGAACAGCAGCAGACAGCAAAGCTGCTCCCACTGCACCAACTGCAAACCCTCCTCAGAACAGGAGGTTCAGCACCGTTTGGCCAGGCCAGGTACTGCCAGGAACCAAAAATGAGACAGCTCTCCACTGTTTGGTGTCACCTGCAGCAGTGGCAGCAGCGTCTACACCCTCCTTCCTCCATCCTCCAGAACCATGCCCAGTTCAGGGAGCTGGGTTTCAATCTGCTGGAAATACGTTTTTAAGGCAAACCTCTCTCTCTGCCTCTGAAAAAAAAAAACATTTGCTGCAAAAGGAGCAGGTTTTCATCTCTCTGACAGGTTCCAGTTCCCACCTTTGCAGGACTGCAGTTACTTCTTTCCCTTTCTTCTGGACACAGAGATTTCAGGATCTGCACCACTCCATTTTTTCCCCTCCACTCTGATCTCGAGAGCAGGAGCAGCATCAAAAATGCATCACTCCCTTCTTCATCTCAGAAGGAGCAGGTACAGAGACGGGGCTGTGCTCAATTTTAACCTCAGATGGGTGAAGATGAATTGAGGGTTATCCATCTTGTGTCCCTCCCGTTTGAAGGAGGAGGTTTGTACCACATCTTCCACATTAAAATCAGCCACAGCCTCCCAGCTTCCCACCTTGGAGCCTCCCAAGGATTTGGGGGCTCTTTGGCATCAGCTGCCAAACACACCCCCTGGCAGAGGAGCCCACGGTGCCTCAGAGCTCCCAAAGCTCCCAGGGCAAGTCCCTCCCATTTTCTGTCATTGATCCCTTTAAATCACTTTAGTACTTCTGAAAATCCCCCCCCCCCCCAGACCAAGTTTATCTGGCACAAAGAGATGTTATTAGAGCAGATTTTTGTGTCTGTCAGGAATTGACCTTTCTCCAAAGCTTTCTTGGATGGCAGCCTATAAAGTTGGGATTACTGTATAATGGAAAAGTAAAGAGGAATATACTGGGAAACAATCCAGACCAAAGGATTTCCCCATGGGATTTTTTTTTTTTTTTTCTCTAGAGTGGCTAATAAAGGTGGTTTTCTGAGGTAATTTATTACTGAACATAATTGCTGAACACTAAGAAATACTTAGATGTGGCCAAAATTTGTTGTACTCAGAGGTCCACGACAAATTTGAGGATATTTTAACTTTTTTTAACTGGTGCAAATGCAACAGGAAGAATTCGGTATCTTTATTATTTATTATTTTTATTTATTACTATCTTATTAATTACTCTATTATGCTGCACTACCCTCTGTGGCTGCTTTTCCTGTTCAGTGCTCAGTTCCAACCTCACCCAAGGAGCGCTCACAGCCAGGATTTGGAACTTCCCGGCACTGGAAGTGTCAGCAGGAGGTGGCAGGGCAGGAGACAGGGGTGGTTGGTACCTCCTGGTCATGTTTTGAGGCAGCCACATCACCTCTCCTTTGTGTGAGAGCTGCTCCCCCTCGGGCTGATCCCAGGTTTTAAAGCCACTAGATGGCCCACGCTCCACACGGGATCCATCCCACTGCAGAGCAGTTCTGGCAGTTTTGGGCAGGCAGCAACACCTGAATCCCTGCAGGATTTGCATTCATCCCACCTGCAGGGATACCCTGGTGGAGTGTCTGGACACTGAGCTTTATTTCCTGCTCTGGAAAGCAGACACTCCCCTCACGGGACAGGGATGTGTCCCGAGTGTTCCATCGGGAAAACTTCAGCACTGACCATTTTCCCTCACTTTTGGAAATCAGTGTTCGTGTTTAGGACAACAATCAACCAGGAGCATGCACTCAATCACGGGATGGAGCTAAATCACTACATTTTTTCATGCTTTCATGCAATTAGAGCCTCCTATGAGCAACAGGTCCATGTTCAGGAACAAATCAAGGCCTGCCATGGGCTGATTTCTCTGGGAATCTGATGCAGCATCTTCTGCCTGCTTTGTGCCACAGCAGCTGAACAATTTGCAAATGGCTCTAAAAATAAGTCAGGAATTATTTTAGCCTTACTTTGATTTTCCAGCCAGAATGCCAAATGTTCAAACCTTTTGGGAAGGGGGGGGGAGGGGAAAGGGAGAAAAATACCCAAATCCCCAGAGTTTCCTTTCAAAAGCAGAATATCTTTCCACTGGAGGGGAAAAAAAAGGTAGAATTATTCATTTGCAATCCTCTGTTCCTTTTGGTAAACAGGGAACACCCCTGTGGTTTGATAATCTCACTCAGGATGAAATAATTCCAACCTCCAAAAAGGTGACCTCACCAGCAATGATGTCATCTCCTTGAAAATAAGAGAAGTAACACAGGGCTTGTGTTACAATCTCAAGAACTTCACAAGTGAAGCCACTTGCTAAAAATATTCCAATAATTTAGGGGGTGGGAAGTGGTTATTTATATTTTACATAAAAGCCAGGACATATCCTACACACATGGACAGTTACTTTGTAAGGCTCTTTTCCAATGTTCCCTCCAAGAAAAACAGAAACATTTTCAGGAAAAAAAAAAATATAAATATATATATATATATATATACAAGTTTACAAATGGCAAGAGCTGACTTTGGATGTGTTTTCAACTTGAATCGGTCGGGTTTTGAGTCTGATAAAACAAATGTATTTTTGTCTGCTACCAAGGGAACACTGGAATTATTTAAAATATGTAATGAAACTGCAGTTAAAAAGCTGTAGTGAAAGACATTTCCAGCATCTTGCTGTCTCTCAGCAAACAGCAGCCCCAACTCACCAACTCCAATTCATCCTCCTCCGACTGTACTCAGCAAACAAGAGGGATAACACAGTTACTAAAAATAGCATTGCTTTCAAATGACAGAAAAAAAAAAATCACATTTCTGCTTCAGGATTTTTTGTCATTTTAATTAATAATGCGAATTCGACACCTAGACCTGTGAATAATACGACTTCAGATGTGATACCTGGTGAAATTCTTGTCAAATAAAAGCTGTGTGTTAAAAGAACATGTGGCTGTGGGGAAATGAGTGCAGGGAGAGCTGGGAGAACACAAGGACACCAACACGGGTGGAGATGGAGCAGAGCAGTCTCTGATCCAATAAACCAGCTCAGCAACCAAATACACTTGTCACACACCATTGCAGGTGAAATCCCCCTTTGAAATCCCTTCCCAGTTCCCTCAAAAACAGCCCAAACCAAAGCTGAGCACTGTGTTGTTCTTCACAACACAACAGTAAATAGGTGCTGTACCCCACTAATATCAGACTTGCATTACCAAGATCCTCTTCTTGTTTCTGATTCTAATTAACACTGTAATTTCCATTTTAATGATCAGCCAGTGTACTTCCTATCTCTCCCACACTTCCTATCTCTCCTATACTTCAGTATTCCTGGAAAAACCCAAAACTTCCAGAATCATTACTCTGGTTAATTACAGCCTTTGTTACCTGGATTAATTTCGTATTATTCACCATGAACACCAGTAACAAATGGAAGCCCTTGTGGTGGCTTAAAACCAAACAGGAACTCTGCAGAGAGCCCTCGTGCTGTTCATATCCTGCTCCTCCTGGTTATGGTCCATCCTTCCACATACAGAGAACTTCTGTATGACAGCAGAAGACCAAGACCAAAGGATCTGGCCAACTAAATTAAAGGAGAAAGGCACTGACCCTTCCTGCCAGACCAGTTCTGGGCCCAGGGCCGTGGCTGCCACGAAACTCGTGTGCTATTCCCAATCCAGGCTGGACAAACATCGCTGCCAACATGCCAAAGTGCCCAGCAGCTCTGACAGGCACCTCAGCTCCTTCTCATGCCCTGGATGAAGGCACAACATCCACTGAGGACGCCCAAGGTCACGCTCCAACACCCCACATCAAACGCGCGCCTCTCCCAGACCGTCCTTACCACTGAAGCTGCACTTCCCATCCTTCACATCCCACAGCCATTACAGCCCAGGAAAAACAGGTACAAAATGTGCTGCAGGGCACGTTAATAGAGCTCACATCACCACTAAGATCCTCCACAGAATAATGCACAGCCCTTTTTAAAAGCCACATCCTCCAAACCAGCAGAGAGCTCTCGGTGCCGAGCCGGTGAGACGGCAAATCCACACACCCAAATCTCAGCCTCTTGTCTTCAGGGCTGTGCCCCCAGCCGTGTTTAGGTCAGACTTGTTTTACACCTTAAAGAATTCCTTACAAATGTAACAAACTGCCCAGGTCACAATTCATAATTTGGACTTTGAGCAGTGACATTTCAGAACACAAACCCCTCTCTGTCCCTGCAGCCCACGGGGAGCAGGTGGGGCACTTTTCCCCCCCCATGCATGTGGACAGAACACTCCATTTTCACAAAGCCACTCCCAGAACTTAAGAAACTTAAATCTTCAGAAGTTGGAACTCACCAGAGGTGGCATCATGCCCTTGCTGGAGGGGGGGATGACGACACGGAGGTCGGGCTTGCGGTTGTTCATGCCCAGGTTGCCTCCCCCGGGGGGAGGGGGGGACTTGGTGGGCATCACCTTGCCCAGGCCATTCCCACCAGCACCAGTGCCCAGCAGGCTCGGTGAAGCTCGAGAGTTCACAAACCCATTTCCTGAAAGGGCAAAAAGAAAGAGAGAACCCGTGAGGCTGAGGGGGAAGGGGGCGACACGAGAGTTTCGGTGCTTTTTGCAGCAATTCTGAAATATTTATTTCGCAAAACTTCCGCGATGACAAACCCTGCATTGAATAATCGACCTGGCCCCAACCACTCTCCCCAGAAAATCAATGTGGAAAGGGAATATCACTCCAAGGGCAGCTGTGGCAGCCCAAATGCTGAGAGGAGCAGATTGCCAAAGAACTATTTCTAATAACATCCGTCGGCTCTGGTTTGCCCTCTGAGTTTCCTCCAGGCTGAGTCTGCAGGAAAGTTGGGGCTTCTGCACGAGCCCACTTGGGGCCCCAACCCCACCAGGACAGGGATTTTGTTGGTGAGAATAAAAAAATAAACCAGCTCTCAAAGTGTCTGTTTCTAAAATGCATTCTTCAGGTGCTTTCAAGATCTGCAGGACTGATTTCAGTATCACCAATATATACCCATTATTACATTTTACAACAATAAGGAAAACAAATCCTCTCCCTTCAAGTTCACTCCAGCCATACACGTCATTTATGCCCATCAATCTGTTTCTCACACTTACTCCTGGTACTCATTTTAAGTGGAATTAGAGCAGCCAAAGCCTGCAGGACTTCAGCACTGGAATGCTCGAGGCCTCAGCTCACGCTCAGAACTGATCAGAAATAGGTAAATCACTGAAGTGCCCAATATTCTACTTTCCTGTACTCACAAAAGCACCAATCACGTTAACCAAAACATCTCTCTCAGAAAAAAATTTTCAAGCCACATTCCAGTCACAGATTCGTATTTATAGCAACAATCCCCCAAATACACACACCTTATTCAGCTGCAAATAGAGGGGGAAAAAAATAGTTGTTAAGGAGAATTTCACAACAGGGAACCCTACAGTTCACCCTACAGAGCCTGTGTGTGTATAAATAAACACAATTCACAGGGAGATCCTGTGGGCACCGACACTGCAGCTCTGAAAGCAGCTTTTCAAGTCACAGCCAGGGGAAGGTCTGGGAGACAAAGTTCACTGTGTGGGAAATTCTCCCCTAATCGCCCGTAGGGCCACACGGGCACGGATTTTGTATTATTATTTTAATTTGAACAGGCCCCTATGCCCAATGCAATTTTGCTGCATTAAGTACATATTAATCTAAAAGCAATTAAAATAAGGAAGTTGTCACTGTCACATTCTACCTTCTGCAGCAACATTTCTAATGCCTTTCAAAGCTCAGCGAGGAGGAAGAGCACAACACTTCCTGGGGGTGACTGGCACTACTGAGATATCCCATGTGCATTGAGAACTTCAGTGTGAATTCACCAGGATAATGGTGAGGAAATTTCTTTGCTCTGTGGATCTCCTGCTGTGCCAAAAGCCTGACCATACAGGGCCAATGAGAGATGTCCCTGGAGCTTTCCAAGGTTAGCAGAGCAAGGAGGAGTTATTCTAATTTACCACTTTCCTGAAGCATTTGTACAGGAGATATGGGAATGTGACTTAGAAGTCATGAAGGGGGGGGGGGGAAGAAGGAACACAGCACAAAAGAAAAAGTTTTTTATGTCAGCATTCTCCCTTCTGTATTAAAAACCACCTCCAAACCTCATTTTGTGATTAAAGCATCTCCACTCCTCAGCAGAAAACAGCAGAATTCATTCAGACGCTCCTGTCAATGATAACATTTCCTTGGGAGTGGCTGCTGGAGCTGAGAATACACACAAGAGCTAAAGGTGCTCTGGACTGGTAGGAGAAAACTCACCTCAGCTGGGTCACATGGGAAAAACCACCAGCCAGAAAGAGAAATGGAGTTCTGTGCTACCCCTGATCTTCCTGCAACTGAGACAGCCTTTGCAGAATCCTGATTTTGTTCAACACAAAGCTATGCCTCAATTCCAGACAACCTACAGGGCACCAGAGTGCCAGAGGAATCTTACACAATGGACAGGGTAAAAATCAAATGGATCTGGAAAAAGACATGAGGGAGGAAAAAAAAAAATCTCAGCAAATGGCATCATTTCCACCAAATTACATCTAAAACTTTGTCACAGCACCTCCCATTTTCAGCAAAAATGCCAGAACATTTAAACAACACTGTTATAACAGAAGCAGAGCCTGGGCTTCAGTGTTATAACAGATTTTATTACTCACTGGGCTGTCAGTGCTACCTTTCCATGCCAAGGCTGTGGTGTCCTGGGCCGAGTTTGAGCTGCACAACAATCCCACTCTGTCCAAACAATGGGGTTCTGTACAGAATCTACAGCAATTTGGGCCATCCTATGATCCCATTTCCTGTCCTCTGTTTTCAAGTATTCCAGTAGCCCCTGTGTTAAATCTGGACAGTGTCTTTCTCCCACACCCAATCCAGTCATTTCCTGAGCCCTTATTCCAAGGCTCTGCCAATCCTCCAGAAACATTTCATGCTCGCAGTGGTGCTCTCAAAAACAACAAGCTCCCTGCCACCGCCTGCCCTGCCCCTGTCACAGGGCAGAGTTACAGCGTTCAGCCAGACAAAAGGCTGAGCAGCCCTTAAAGGGAGTGTTTAGAATGTATTACAAACCCCAAAAAAAGTGTCCTAAGTGCGCAGTGCTGAGGGTCTGAACCCAGAGCAGCCCTTTGATGAAGAGCTGGCACTGAACACTCAGCAAACACTGGAGTGTCTCTATTGATTGTCTGAAGAATCATATGCTGGGGCTGCAATAAGGCTGCAGAATGCTCAGCTCGAGTATGAAACTTCAAGCCTTTTTTTCCCCTTTTAATAATCTAATAATAAAATCAAATTACCAGTGAGGAGCGAGAGGGTAACCAAACACACGGTATTTCTTAGAGCAAGGTCAGGAGCCAGAAAAAGATAATGAGCACAGGATGATGCAACTCCAGGGCTGTTTGCCAAGGGGAGGCTTTAATAACCCCATAAATTCTACTCACTCCTTTGGATAGTACAGAAATTGTTCCTACCCCACCCACTGCAGGTCTTCCCCAAAGACAATACTTCACATCATCACACGGAACATGGAAAACCGGAATGTAAAATCCTACATATGTGTAAAAATAAGACTGTTTTCACTCCCGTAGGAAGAGTTTTATTTAACTCTAATTCCTTAAAACAGACGTGAAAGCATGTTCAAAACAGCCCTCTGGAAAACAGACACCAATGCAAAGATAAGCTCTCAATTATATGAATCACAATTTAATTAGATTTCATGATAACAAACCCTGCCAGCCCACATTAACCCACTTCTTGCTCAGACACAAAAGTGTTTACTTCTGAGGCAACTTCTTTTCTGAAGAGAAACCTTACAACCCACCCATTGCAGCGACTGGATCTTCTGCCTTCAGAGACATAATACAGCTTAATCTCATTTACTGTCCTGCAGCCCAAGACACAGCATTCAATTACATGAGCCAGACTCATATTTCACTCTATAAATCACATCAGCTGAAACAATGAACACACGTGGCTGGAAAGTACTCCATGTACTTATTACTACTCAAGGAATAAATTACAGGCACTGATGCCATTAATCTTTTTTTTCTTTTTTTTTTTTTTTTTTGTGGTTCACCTTTGGGGAAACTGGACAGTTATGCAGAGCCTTGGAAAATAACTGTGGGCAAGCAGCTGAGCCACGCGCAAGGTGAAGCAAAAGTAAGGATGGTGATAAATATTTATGCCTCCAGTGAGATCATACAACCCCAACAGACATCACACCCCTTAGCAGGGAGCTGAAAATTGGGTTTGCAAGAAGCCATCCGTTCAGGAGGCATCAGGAGAGCAGATAAAAATCTACTGAGGGAAAACATCTACGTGTAAAACCTCGGGGGGGTGGGGGGGAACACAGTGCAAGTAAACACAACAACAGCGTTTCTGTGTGCATTAGTTGCTCAATCTGTTTACTCTGGGGTTTAGCAGGACAGATTTAAGTGGAAATTGAAACCATTTTCAGGCTCTGCACAGCAATCATTGCTGATTCCACCACCGTTTCCATGAAGCCCGAGTTCTGTGTTAGCCTTGGAAAGAGTTCACGATGATATCTCAAGGAAGCTGCAATAAACGTAATTTCTACTGATCTTTACACAAATCAAGGTGTCAGGTAATACCACCAGAATTAAAAGATACCTTTGACAGTAATACAAGATCTTGAAACACGTCTAACATGTAAGGTTTATACTTCTAAGGCACTACTTTAGATATTAAAAGGCAGCAAAGAAAGAAATACACATGACTAAATGTCAAGGGAATGCTTACTCATGTTACAAAACTTAAAAAAAAAAAAAAAACCAAACTCATTTCCCAGGTTGTTGGAAATTTTTTTTTTTGCCTGAAGCTACATAAAAGGAGAAAGAATTTTCAAGGATATTCAGAATTTAAATGGGCTTTCTTCAAACCAGGGTTATTACTCAGGATGCAACCGGTGTGAAACATTAGCAGTGGCAACTGGAGGTCTTTTAGGTCTTTTGTCAATTGATGAGTTACCAGTTAATTAAATAAGAGTTTAGTTCCTGAACTTGCTGGTCTCTGTGTGTCCACACAAAGCCACCCTAAAGAATGGCAAAGGATGGAGTAGTGGTGCGTTCAGAACACCTGAGGATGTGTGGCATCCCGGGCAAGGGGACGTTACAGAAATGTTGGTAATGACTTTAATCCAGCTGGGAAATTAATAATTTGATATATGCATGGCAAATTCTAACCAGAATTGTCATGGACCTCTCAGTAAATCAGCAATCACAGTAAGATTAGGAACACACAGGAGATGAAATTTCAACTCAAATCCAAGGATAGTCGAGGGGCTGAACTGACCTCATGCAGATGGGTGGTTTCCAAGGACAAACAGCTACAATTTAAAATGCTTTCTTCTACCAGCATGTTTTTAATGCTGATTTCAGCCAGTCATCTTTTCTGTGAGCTGATCTAATCACAGGGTGATGGATGGATCAACCTTTGTTATGTGCTGACATCAGTCCAGCAAATGAGAAGGGTTCAGCCTGCACTGTCAAACAGCTGCTCCTCAGCCACTTCCACAGCTCCTTCTCCATGAGGAGAGCTTGGAAGCTGGAGGAGTGAGCAGGCTGGTCTCATGTGCTTCAGGGATCCTTCAACTCTTTCCCTGGAGAAGGGTGAAACCCTGACTGTTGTATTTCCCTGGGTAACCTTAAAGATCAGAGGAGGGCAAGCCATGATGATGCCTTGACACCGGTGACACGACAGAGCAGGAACCTTCGTGCACTCAGAGTGACCAAACATTCTGCAGTCCCAGCCCTTCCAACACAAGTGAGGAGCTCTGTCCAATGAAAAATCACCTGGGACAGACCCCACCTGTCACACTGAATATCTGAAGCCTCCTGTGCACTCCAGAACTGCAGGGGAGTCAGACTGGTGCAAGACCAAGCTCCAGGACTCTTTTATCCTCAGACACACACACACAGACAGCTCTCCCCATTAGCCAATCCCTCAAGACAAAAGACCATTGACAGGTGTGGCTTTTCACAGTTCTCTGTCAAGCAGTTTACAGGTGTGGAGCTGTCAGTGGCCCCTCTGCACAGCCCCTGCTCAGGTCAGGATACAACACCTCACATGAGCGCTCTCAGCACAGACACAACAGCTCACAAGGCACAGCTGTGCAAGCAGGTGTATCCTCCAGTTCCATCCCAAAGAAACTCAGGATTCCTCAGGCCACTTCTCAGTCCCAGAACCTGAAGATTAGGATGGATAACTGTGGTACTTCTGAGCCCTTCTCAGTCCTAAAGGATGGGACAAGGTCACTGGAAGTGCATTTCACTGGCAACCTCTGGATGGTTGGAGGTTTGACATCAAATCTACCGGGACAAAGCAAAGCAGATCTTCTCATGGCAAACTGGAAGGGGATCCATCCATCCAGTCCTTTCGGTTCACAGTTAAAGAAACTCTCCCCAATATTTGGGGACTCGTGTGAGGCTACACTTTGCTCAGTTAGAACCCGCAGCACTTGAAAGGCACTAAAAGCAGACACACAGTGTATGATCAAGCCATGATGATGCTGACAACAAGCAGCAAGTTCTACACATCCTGGTGCTACAAGAGCCCTGAAGCATCTTTGATGCCCATCACAAATTAAACAGGGTTTAACACCGACCAGGAGCAGCTCTATCATCAAAGTTCTACCTCAAAAACCTTTGATCTGATTAAAAGAAGAAATAAATTGGCTCCAGAGCAAACACTGTCACGATGCTGGACGTTCTTCCCCTCTCAAAACCGATCTATTTGCCAAGTAAAAATCTTCAGCAAGTTGTTTTTTTATGCGGTGGGCAGGATTTTAAAAATATTACAAAAATGAGAATGCTTTTTCAGAGCTGTGACAGCTGCTGCATGTGAAGTAAGCTCTCAGTATTATAAAGTGATCACAAAATTTTCTGTTCTGGATATAAAAAACCACCTACCAATCTTTGCTACAACACGCAGATATTTTTACTCAAAGTTATTTTCCACAGAAAAAAACTGTTAAGTTGGCAGATTGACTGCTAAAGCAAATCATTTCCATTCCAATCAAGTTACACAGGACTTGAGAAAAAGACTCGTGTGAACTCAACATGAGCCATTTTATGCAACATCTTTGTTTGAACCGGGTCCCAAATAAGCAAGATAACCTTTACTTGCTTTTTACTCCCAGATAAAGGCATTTAAGTGTCTTTCAAGGAAATGAGAGCAAAATCTCAAATGCGCCAAAACTTCGTCTTGTAGGAGATGGGTTTTTCCTTTACTTCTAAGGGAATATCTGGGAATGTGGCTACGCCAGTGCTCCATCTTTTTTACTTCTGACATCACTCCTACAGATTGTGAGCTGCACATTTGGCACATGACCTTTCACTACATCCATAGGAGAATTCTCCATTCCTGAGGAGTTTAAAGAAAAATCCTAAAAGCTAAAAGAAGAAAATAGCGGGGGGGGTGGAGTTCTACAATAAACACAGCAAGAAACTAAAGCCAGTATTGTCTGCAGACGTAATTAACAGGATATACATTTCAACAGCAGCTGTCAAGCCCAAATTGACAAATTAGCAGATTTAATCAATCTGGCTACATATGGTTTCTTGATTTTGGTTGCCACTGAGAAGGTTCCTGGGCACCTGTCACTATTTAAAAGTCGTAGGAAGTAGAGTGTGACAACTGAGGGCACTCTCTGGTTTGGCATTTCAGTGCTGACCAAGTATTTGAGCTTCACTAGAGGTGCTCTTTGGAGATGTTCCCCTGTTCTTGTACAGCCCCAACTCTCACTTGCATGACAAACCTTTCTAGAAGTGAGTGGGTACATGTATAACATTCTGGGTGTGATGTTCTGCAAAGGAAGAGATAAGTGATGCATTCTGACTTCTTACATAGACTATTAATAAATGCAAGAAGGAAAACATTTTACTGCATTAAATACATTCACCAAGCTGCAGGAACTGGGCATTTCTAGAGTTTACTACCCCACAGAAGTGCTGTAAACAACTGTTTTATTTGCTTATTGGAAGGAGGAATCTTAAATCTGAGGCTGCTGCTACTAAAGCCTGATTTTGGAGAGGCCTGAGACAGCCTGATAATAAACTTATTTAGTCTGACTGGAGAACTACTATGGAAATCAACATCTGACCTCCACAGTTTCTAAAAATAGTCACTTTTTTTTTCAACTGAGGAAGTTTCCTCCATTTAAAATCCTGCTTACCTGATGGAAACCACTCTTTAATATTTCATATCTTTGCTGCACACGGCCAAAGGATGGAGAAAGAGTGGAAAGTCAATCCTGCACTTTCAGCCTCGGAGCTGCAGCATTTTTTATTCATCAATTCAGCTGCCTGACCTGATGTTCAAAGAACTTTTTTTCCCCAGTTGCCACACTAAGTAGCCAGTGGGCAAATCCTGACAGGTCAACAGTTGCTTCTCTAATTCCTTGCTATGAACACATTCCAAGGGGAGCTGGTTGTGTTTGCAGAGCTGACCTTCAGCACCAGGACACCCAAAGTCACAGCAGGAACGTGAACAAAGTGGGGGAATTGCCATTTATTTTGTCTTTCTGTGGAGCACTAAATGTCCATGGCTGCCTGGCCTCTCTCAGAGTGCTCCATTTTATATTTAGGGGAGACAAAATATTATCTAAATGAGGAAGTGTCCTCGTATCTTTTTACTGAAGACCAAAAAATACGGGGAATTCGATTTTTGGAGAGATCTCTTAATTTGTTTTCAAAAGAAATCCTGATCATCATCCAACATGAAGACAGACCCTAGCTATCAGCTTCCAAGATTTACTGCTTTCTTCATAGAACTGCTAGAAAACGATGAGCAAGATACACATGGCAATACAAACAATAGAGTCTGGATTTGCCTCATTTTGATTGGCACCAATAGCAGTATCAAACATCCAGGTCCTGCAGATTCTGAAGATGGGGGCTAAGCTGAGTTGTCTTTAGTGCAATAGTTCAGTAAAGCTCAGAGACTTTCATACAAAGCACCTTCTAAATGTGAGCATAAACGTGCATATTCCAGAACAGCCAGTTATCACACAAAAAAAGAAAAAGTTAGCAACAACCTTTTCTATGAGTAACCTTGCCAAAATATTCATCTCTAAAACTTTCTTTTGCAAAAAATTAGAAATTTGGCAAAAAAAAAAGAGATATTTTCAGAATGCTGCAACTGCACCTGTAGAGACACACAAAAACAGGAGCAGCATGGTGCTACTGAAAACCACTAAAATAAAAAGAGCAAGTATCACTGCAGCGGAAAGGGCAGAGCAGTGAAAACTTCAAATAAACGCCTGATAAGAACTTACACAGCTTGACCTTTGTCCTCCCCACAACCAAACTAAAAAACCTGCTTTTGAGTGATCGAAAGGCACCACAAGCTTCTCCAACACAGACACGAGGCTGCACTTACCCACTGGGCTGGTCCCAGCTCCGTTTGGCACTGACAGCTCGGTCGTCCCCAGCATCGCACCTGGTAAAAGAAGAGCATTAAACCCAGAGTGCCATCAGGGCGTGGCACCACCCTGTGCTCAGGCTGTGCCAGGTCGTCACTGGGTGTTTGGGGGGTGGATTCAGCGAGCAGGGCTGGGAGGGGGAGCCCGCGGGGCCCTCACCTGCGTTGCCGGTGCTGGGAGGTCTCTGGGGCGCCCCGGGGGACACGTTGCGGTGCAGGGTGCTCGGAGGGGGGGACAGCATGGTGGTGTCCGTCAGGGAGGAGCTGGCTGCCAGGGATGGGGACACGAGGGAGCTCCCTGGGTTGCTGTAGGTTAAAGTGTTGGGGTTGGACACCGGAACCGTGACCGACATGGAGAAGTTCTGAGCGGGCAGACCGGGCTGGGGGAGAGAAGATGAGGAACAGAGAGACGAGGCCGTTAGCATCGACTGCACGCACAGCACCACGCAAAAACACAGTCACGTCTGCCAAGAAGCAATCAGGTTGTTTTCTTTTTCAAAAACAAGTTAATTATGTTAGTTTTTCAACTCTTTTAAGCAGACGGTTTTAAAACACTCATTTGTTGTAAAAGGGACGGGGGTTAAATTCTTGTACATCACATAAATAACAGTTCCAAAACCTCTGAAATACTGCAAGTTCAAATACAGAAAACTGAAAATATTCATGTGAATTCACAAGCTCATAAATACAACAAATTAACCAGTTAATCTGGATTATTACAAAGCAACAAGCTAAACATGTCTACAAATCATTGACTTGTACCTTCAAAATGTAGGAATAAACATGCACGTTACAAAACAGTCAGTTATTACACAAAAAAGAAAAAGTTAGTAACAGCATTTTCTAGTCATATATATTTTCGATTAATTAACCTGCCAAAATATTGCTACTAATCTCTAAAACTTCCTTTTTCAACAGACTAAAAATAAATAAATAAATAAACAAACAAGTCTTTAGAAAGTCACAGTTCAGTCATTTGAATTTAAACATTTCAGGTTCCACAAACCCCTGCTCCAATAACCACTCCATCTTTTTTTGCACCTCTCATTGTTTTAAATTCTAACTTTTACAGCATTATTTAAGAGGCAGCTGGTTTTGGGGCAGTCTATATGTTTGTTATTCAGCAGCTATTTGAATCAAAAGCAGAGATGCCTGCCCATCTATGGTACTCATTTGGTCATGACTAACTTCTTTGGCCTTTGTCTCATTCCTATCCTTTGACAGGGATGAGTTTCTGAAACAAAAGGGACTATTTTCTTTCACAACTCTCATAATTACTGGAAACAAACCCATGACAGGTACAATTTAAGGGGGGAAACTCAGTAGGATTTATTGACAGAACGCAGAGATAATAGTTTTGATTTAGAGGTCAAAGACAGATGACCAATCAAGAACACTTTAAAAAATGCAATTTCATCACACGCAGCTTAAAAACCACTTAGAATGATGGTTCTGGACGAAAATCTGGATAACACCAGAAATATAACAATAACTATGTAATTAAAAGAGCAGAATACATTTTGAACAAGAAACAAAAATCTCTTCCTAGTGAGAGCCAACAACAACAACGTCCCCACTGAGGCATTCTAAGAATAATTATCAATTTTTGGCACAGATGGAAGGAAAAAGTAATGAAGCACAACGATGTAACATCAGCAAATCACTCACAGTATCTAACTAATGACAACCTCACTGGTGCTTGTTTTCAGGAGAAACTACTTGAAGAAACTGTTCAGTATCTCCCCAAAAAAAAGGGTTGTTTTTAAACGGCAGCTCAAACTAAACTGGAAATACCTGAAGAGTGCTGAGCACAAAGGCAGGAGGTGACAGCTGGGACATTTTTTTCTGCAGGTTTCTCAACACAGAAGGAAGGAGTGACAGGCTCCCCCCCACACCTTACAACAAAGGCTGTCCCTGCCCATCTCTGGTGCTCATTTGGGTACGACCGAATTCCTCACGCTTTGCCTCACCGCTGTCCCCTGCCAGTAATGAGAGCAGAGAACAAGGGGAACTGTGTTCTTACCCAGCCCCACAAGTGCTGGGAATGGGGACAGAACAGCCCAAAATCCAAGTTATAAATACAGAACTACAGAGCTAAAAAATAACGCTGCCTTCTTTTTAATTTCTGCTCATGTCCACACAGACATCTGGGCTGCGAGGGAGAGCAAGTGAGCTGGGAGATGAGGCCTGGGGAGGTCTCGAGCACAGAAATGTTGGGTGTCAAAAGCTTCAAAGGAAGGCAAAACCCAAAGCAGATTGGCTTCATTCAGCTATAAGGTGCTAAGAGAAGTGGTGCTGGGTGTCATGGCTGTGACTGCCCTAACAATGAAATTATTTCCACTCAAATAATGCCCCAGCGGTGATTAACCAAGCCAGGCCATCTTGAACTGCTGCAAGATTTGCCAGGTTAAGAAATGGAAGGGTTGTGGCAGAGCCCTGCATTAGCGCTCTCAGAAAATACTTGCCCTGTGATACTCCACACTAATTGGTTTTTGTAGGTGGGAATTAAATGTCATGGTGAACACCTCCATGAGAAACATGTGACATGAGCACTGCTTTTATCCCATAACTGAATTCTGGAGCCAAGCGACTTAGGGCTGCACAAGGGGAAGAAAATTTTCCAAGATCTTTCAGTGTCCAAGGAAGTATCTGCTGGAATTTCAATATTTTGAGGCTCTCATTGTGCACACCAGTCTTGACCTCTAAATATCCAAATAAAACTTTCTACACTCAGACTTGAAGAAAATAAATTCTGCTGATTAGAAGACAAAATTAGTCCAATTCTATTTGCCTGGTAGTAACATACTGAAAAATCTCGATCAACAGACAGATTAAAGACCCACAAGATGTAAATAAAGGATCCTACAGCCCACGACAAAAATCTGTCTTTGTGAATGTATTTTAGGTAGGATTAGGTAATGCAGCCAGGCTCCTGGAATTTAGAAATGTTATCTCATCTTCACAAGATACGAGTGCAAAACAAGACCTAGAGGTAATTCTTCTTATTCTTCAAGATAAAATGTATTTCAGCAAGATCAAGTAGCAGCACCTCATCTTTCCTCAACAAATACGTTGTTCCCTTCTCAAGCCATCACATCCTCCTCTCGCCTTTGAAGTGGTTCTCAGTGGTAAGCACACAACCAGGAAAATTCTCATGCATGTAAGAGAAGCACAAACCATACTTTAGTACTCACTGCGATTTTATGATTCCTCATCATATTATCAAACTCTTCATTAATTTTTTTATATTTTTCCTCTGTATGTGGCGTGAGCACATATGAAGTGTCAGGGTCCGGGCTGTCGCACCCTCTGTGTTCCTTCTTGTTCAGAGCCTAAATAATGAAGTTAATAAAAAGGATCAACAAATAAAAAGTAGAGATAAAATAAAAGTACTTACAGGGCCTCGCTTGAAAATAAAATCACTATCTTCATTTAGTTTGCTGAATCTGTCCTCCGATAGCGGACTGTGCTCAAAGTAATCGTCAGCATCAGGGCTCTCACAACCATTAAGGCCTTTCTTTCTTAAGGTCTGAAATACAATTGGAAAATTCACACACAGATCATACTAACTTGCCAAGAAGTTCGTTTTTGTTTTGTTTGTTTTTTTTTTGCTTTTTGTTTTTGTACACTACCCAGTCATTCCGAGCCCCTGAAACGACGGATTTTCACCGGCAGAGCTCACTGTCCAACACACAGGGTTAGTCTGTCCAGACAGTGGCAAAGTACACAGAGACACAAAAGGTTCATCCAGGTGCCACCTCGCAGGGAACTTTGGGCTTCAACCACTTCACCTCCCCAGCATTCCGTGGAAAACCATTTTTAGACAGGGGCAAAGTTTGCCTGACCAGGAACAGTCCAGCCCGTGGCAAACCAGTTCATGTATCCACTGGGAATTAAAAGCCACTTTAGTGGATCTTGAATGAATTGATTTCAGCCTCCCAATTTTAATGTGCACATTTTTAAAAGCACAGGGTTAAATTCTGAGAAACACAGTGGCTGAGATTTTTGTTCCAATTCAACAACTGCAGGACATTAATATTTGTAACACTCTCTGTAGTTGATAAAGGCAGGATCTTCCTGCACTTCTGTCATCCTGCATGGTAACAACAACAACTGCAAAAAAAGCATGAAAAGAAATTACATAATCCCTCTCTAAAATGACTTAGTTTGCTAAATATAAGCTTTTTCAGAGTCCTTTAGACTAACTTGATGCAACTGCTTTATTGGGCTACTTCCTGTTTTCTGATGGAGAACTCACACCAACATCCCCTGGAAAAAGAAAAAAAAAAAAGAAAAAAAAAAAAAGGCAAACTTGTCTACAGTCCAGGCATCAGAGAAAGGATGTGAAACTACAGGTCTCGTGACCAAAGTATAAGAGATAATTGTATTTCTTGTTTTTCTTTTTTTCATCTATTACACAATCAGAAAGCTTCCTCTGCAAGTTCTCGTTTATAACAAAACAAGATTTAAAATGTTACCTGTGGAAAAAATCTTTTTTTTTTAAAAGTATCAAAAGGAAAGCAATGTAAATTTTATACATGTACACATTATCAGCACATAAGGCAGCAGCAGGACTATACAGGCGTGAAGGGGTTGTGTGTTTCCTTTTTGTGGAAAAATTATCTATATTTCATGAATTTCATACTAAAAAAACCCTAAAGATCTTAGAAATCTGCAAGTCGATATTTTCCAGCCCCACAAAGAAATTCCACATTTTCCTATAAAAGCCGTTTCCGTACCGCCCCGAAATTCCGATTTCCAAAGCAAAATATTTTAGTTTATACGATTCACCAGCATTTTTTTTTTCTTACTTGTGTAACGATTTTTTAGTACAATAAAAAGTGCACAAGCCTTTTTCCTATTTATAGATATGCAAAACAGCGCCTATTCCTCCTGCAGTTCCCAAGCACCCCCTTCGCCGCCTGAAATTCTTTAATATCACAGTTCACCAGAAGCCGCAATTCCTTTCTCGAGTTTCTTGGCTCGCTCGGCGAATCCCACACAGTATCTGGAACTCCCACAAAAATGTAATCACTAAATCAGCATATGGGGGGTGGGGGTGGGGAAAAACAGGTGTGGGTTCCTCCAGCACCTGTCACGGCCCCCATCCCGATCCCGCGGCCCCGACCAATCAGCTGGACACGGGAATGGACTTGGCCATACAAGGCTCGGCCTCTCAAGGTCGGAGCCTGTTATCCCTCTCTCCTGGCCCTTCCTAACAAGTCAGCCTTGCCAGGCTGCTGCACTTGGGTATCAGCAGGGAAAATGTTAACACTGTATAATCTGGATTACACTTAACCCCTGCAGCCCACGGGACTCCGGAAATAGAATCCAAATGTCTTTACCCGGGACGCGATTACCGGCTGGATTCAGTCGCCACAAAGAACTCCACACTCTGTTACTTCTCCTCCTTTGATAAACACCTTAAAGCAATTTAAGTCTTGCACACAGAAGTTTCTTTAGAGCTCCTTTCCACAGTCCAAAGCAATCCAGTGAAAGCTTTCAGGTGTAACGGTGGCAATTCGTCCCCCCGGATCTGCCCGAAAATTACACTCCACGCTGAGCAAAAAGGAAGAGATTTAAACACAAAAAATACCTCCTTCCTCTTGGCCACTGCAGGGTTTTTTATTTTCACTAACAATGGGGTTAATTCTGCTTTGACTCATGAGGAAGGAAAATGCCTCAGTATCTCCCGTTTGGGGCTCTGGAAAGCGTCACTCCAGATGGGGTTCCTGTCATTGTGCAGGGATTTAAGCCAAGCTCAGCGTGACAGATAATCACGCCGGGCCTGATCGCCAAAGCTCTGTCTCCTTATCACCCAAACACCAAGTGCCACTTTGAGGACCTGACCATAAAAAGCCTGCGAAGTTTTATCAGCGCCCGGTAACACAATAGTAAAACATTCCAGCTGCGGGGCAGGGAATGCTGGAATCTGTTCACACGGGCAGGCGAGGCGGACGCGAGCCAGCCCAGAGCGGGTTCTCACAGATAACAGGCCCTGCTCCAGGGAAAACAAGCAGGGACACACTGCTGGGAATCGCTCTGCCGGGACCCAGGAAAGCCACCGACCAGGGCTGACCCCGCCCTCCAGATTCTCCCGCGCTGAAAATCTGTTATTTCTCCAAATAATGTAAATAAGTCGCCTCTCTGAGCTGTTCCCAAGGTATTGCTGTGGAGGCTGAAATTTTACCGACTCTGAGAAATAAAATGCCAGTTGGTGAGACCAAATTTGTGTAATGTGAGGAGAGTCTTATTCCTACACAGGTTTGTTTAGAATAGAACCAAGAGTTTTTACAGTTGAGGCTACTAAATATGGGGCATTAATTTTCTTACAACAGCAAGAGGGGGAAAGAAGATTAAATTCCAAGTTTTGCTATTGGATGCTCACTGCAGTTACCTTCTGGTGCGAAGGCTTGTTTTCCAGATCATCTAAGGGAATGTGCAGCCCTTTCAGTTCATCTCTATTACTTTCCCCTTCCTCTAAGACTTAGCCAAAATCACTGGAAATCGTTCCAACATGTTTGCCAATGCACTGCATTGTGCCCTAGTAACTGAGATTGTGCAGCTTTGATCTTGGACTGCACTAACTTACACTGAGGAGGGAAAAGGACTGATTTCAGTCAGAAAACAATTTCAAGTATTTATGAAGAGCCAAGGCAAGTGTGAAACCTTCTTCAAAAGAATGGAGCAAATACAGCAATGCAGTTCTGTCACGAAGTTCTAGACAGGTGAGGTCATCTTGGTACTGCAGAGCGACCCTGAAGCTTTAACTGCTTTTGTTCCACTCTGTAAAACTGAACCACATGAATATTATAACTATTAGTTTAACGTTGATTTATTTTGATTTGAATGGCAGAGCTTAGAAAACAGTGTATGAGAAAGGCTGGACTGGCTATGATGGGTTTAAATATTGCAGTCAAGCACATGGTAATATTTTCCTGAACTTCCCCACACATATGCAAAGTACTTTTTAATTGCACTGCATTCTGTTAATTTAAGAAAAGAATCATGCCAGAATCATGAACAGAAGAAGGGCCTCTTGCAAAACAACAACAGAAAGGAATAATTGGCTTCTCTCTACAGTCCAACATAAATTTTACTGAAAGCAGTAACACAGATACCCAAGAGTGTAAAAATACAACAAAGCCATTTATTGCTTGATCCAGGAGGAAGCCAAGACGATATCCAACCATCAGAGCGTGATTAGCATGAGCTTCCTTCCCCAGAATCCCACAGAGACACGTGCAGTGCAGGAGCCTTGAGCTTGCTGAGCCCAAGTCACCACCTTCCCTGGGCTTGTTCCCACGGGATCCCGGGGGATCCAGGCAGGGGCAGCTCTGGGAGCCAGGAACTCGGAACCAACACACACAGGTTGATGGATCACTGCTGCCAGGGATGAAGGACAGCCCCCAGCTGTGCTCCCATCACAGCCCCCGGGCTGCATCACAAAGGACACGGCGCTCATGATCAACAGGCACAGTGGGCCTGTTCTGTGCTCTGAGATCCAGGGACTTGGAGCTTTCTGATCCCGGTGATCTGGGCTCTGGCAGAGCTGCAGGGAACCTGACTGTGCTCACTGTCACATCAGGAAACAATATTTTTCTGCCTTAAAGCAAGAACGAGGGGTGACCTCATGTGCAAAAAAGCGTCAGGTCAGTCAAAACACTGAGTGTTGGGTTTCTGGTAATGTTACACAAAAAGGAAATGGTTGCTGCTGTCAGAGCTCCCATGGATCATGTTAACAGCTCTATTTTTGCACTCACTACTGCAGCTGGCCAAACGGGATTTTTGCTGGTGTTTCGTCCCAAAATCATCAGGAAAACCATGTCCAAAATTTGACTAAGATTGAGACGAGAAGTGATTTCCCTTGGAAAAGGCAAACCTTTCACTTAAATCCTGTGGCTGCTTCTGCTCCTGCAGTCAGAGCACGGAAAAGCTGTGAAGCAGCACAAATTTGGGGTAAAACCTTTTTAAATACTGTAATTTTTCAAAGTGTAAGTATTCCTCAGGCCTAAAGTAAAGGTCCTACCAAATATTACTGCTGCTCCAGGAGGCACCTACACCACAGACATCAGAAGGATTAACAATTACAATTTCCTGATGCTCTAATGAAGAGTATTTCTTTCTTCACTAAAATGACAGCAAATTCTCCTTGGTCATTCTTTATTTAGCTCATTTTTTTGCTGGGTTTGTATCCAGCTGTAGCAGGAATAAGTGGTTTTCCAAGGTGCGGGCTGAGCACCAGGGGAGGCAGAAGGAATGGCCTGTCCTCTCTGATAAATCACATCCCACATGAAAAGCCACACCTTTTTTTCCGAGATATTCACCAAACGAAGGGCAGGCACAGCAGTGACAGTAAACCAGATTTCACTCGCAGTACCTCAGTATCAATCACTTCACACACAGCAGAAACTCCTGCTGAAACCACGACAATTGCTTTATTATTTGCTTCCCGGCACATGTTACTGCCGAAAAGCTGAGCCCAAAACCAAGCTGGGTTTTTCTTCTTTTGTAGCACAAAATATTCCA